GTTGCTGATCACCTCACGCACCCCACAGTGGAAAAAGAACCGAGTGACCGTCTACGAATATGACATTAGCGGGGACCAGTGGATTAATATAGGTACCACATTAGGCCTCTTCCAGTTTGATTCTAACTTTTTTTGTCTCTCAGCTCGTGTTTATCCTTCCTGCCTTGAGCCTGGTCAGAGTTTCCTCACTGAGGAGGAAGAGATACCAAGTGAATCTAGTACTGAATGGGATTTAGGTGGATTCAGTGAGCTGGATTCGGAGTCAGGAAGTTCGAGTTCTTTATCTGATGATGATTTGTGGGTCCAGGTAGCGCCTCAGTGATATGCACAGGATCAGCAGTTGTAGTTATGTTGAGACACTAAGGTGTTTTACTGCTTGGAAAGTATGTTAAAGAAATACCCTTTCCCTTTACAGGAAAAAAAAAAAGGTTGATTGATTTCAGGTTTTGTTTAGAAAAGGTATTGTTTGAGATACTAATGTAATTTAATGTTAGAGAATTTAAGCATTCCAAAAAATAAACCTATTTAATAATTTACTGTTCTAAAAGTCCAGTATTGGTTTGATTGTATAGTATGTTTATGTTTGATTATGCTAATTTTGCCTTACATTTTGTTTAGTGCCACAAGTACAGTAACTGGAATTTTAAATTTTATAATAGAAAACTGAGTGGATAGGAATGACTAAATATGGTTTTGAAAGTATGTATTTTCCTTGAGAACAGTAGTAGATTTCCAAAACTTTAACCTGGATTTTTACAAAGTGCATTCTAACTTAAATATATTTTACTGAGTTTTAATTTAGTTTCCTCCTTTTTTGTGAAGAAAAAATGCACATATGTTTAACGTGACTGAATGCTGATTTGTTATGTGACTGAATGTAATACTTTATAGAATGGCATTCACTGATAGTAAAAACAAAATAAACCAGGACATTACTGTTGGAAAAGAAATTTCAGTTTTAAATTTGTAATATAAAATGTGTATTTGCAAATAGCAACCAATTTTTCATCTAAAAATAATTCCATTCTAGCAGTGTCACCAATTACCTACAAAGCTTAAAAAACAAAACAAAAAAAACCCCCAGTAACTTGTTTTGTAGGTTCAAGTTTTTTCATCTATACTTGGTGTACATGCTTCATTGAATCAGAGGAATAATCCTTTTTTTTACAGGACATGATGGTGTAAATTTTTATCCATTGTCTTAAAAAGTTACTGTGATTCTTAAAATATTTTGGCTGTATAGTTTTAGTGTTCATCTTAGAAGATCGGTCTTTACTGTTTTGTGAGGTAATACTGGTTTTGAAAATATGTTTAAGCTAAGAACAGTATTTTATTGATTAGTAGTTATTGTATCTATCAACTATAAAATCAAGTGCCAGAAAAGAACTTTAAAACTTTCAGTTTTAAGTATAGAACTGTTTTGTGTAACACTGAAATATTGTCAGTTTTGTAAGTCACTAAATGTTATTATCGGCTTAAAGGTATTTTTGTATTAAAAGTTTACAGTTAAATAACATAAGTGGATGATGGCATTTGGGTCCAGTCATGAAAGTATATTTCGTCTAAAATATTTCCCTAAACAGTGGTACACATGGTTATTTTATTAGGGTATTTGTATCTCACCTGTGTTTCTCTGTGAATCAATGTTCCAGTCTTTGTTTCTGTCACTGTATGTAAGAAAAAGTCCAGAAATAGAGACTACATCACATAACACTGACATTGTTAAATACAAGAAAATATAAATGCTTAATTACCTCTTAAGGTTTACTAGATATGGTTGTCATTATTCATATACATAATACATGACCAGATGCTTATAGTGTTTAAAATTTTCTATACCCAATTAGAATTATCTTCATTTAGTAACATGCTAATTCCTCTTCTATGTGTAATTGCTGGTGACAGAATGCTAACATTTCATACTCCCTGGCAGAATGCTGAGGAGTGTGCTCCCACAATTGGGAAACTGAATTTCTGAATGAAATACCATAGGATGAAATGAAGAGGGGACAACACACAAGGCTTTAAAAAAAATCTTCTCAGCCATTTTTATTGGCCATTTTAAGAGTCTACAGAATATTCCTGTTTAACATTTTTAGTGAAATAAGATGCTTTCTTAGCAGTAAGTGTTCCTTTAAAAGATCAGACATGCTTTTAGTTAGCTAAGGCTAAACTTTGTTCCATTTGCCATCAAGGGTGTTATAAGCACTGTACTTAATACAAAGCTTTTTCTCAGTAGTTATTTTTTGACCAACTTTTTCTTTACCAGTAACTTCTTTTTTGATAGCTTTTTGTTTTTTCATGTTGAAATAGGACATCGTTGATTTCATCCATATCATCCATCTGCAGAACTAAGGTATGCAACCAATTTGTAAAAGACAGATTCTCCAACTTGTCATTTTCAACCTTTCATTTAAAGTCTAAGACAAATGATAGTAATATATCTTCATTGACAAAGAGGTTTCTTGGGAAGAATTTTGGTTTTGTGATATATTTGTGAATTAAGGAATAGATGTTAACCATTATTTTATAGATAAGTGATTTGTATGTGATTTGTTACAAATAAAACTGGTACTAAAACCCTGACTTTCTGACTTTTTAATTCAGTGTTTCTGCTGAATGTATCCAACTTTTGCTTGTGCAGTGAATGACATAACTAGCCATGTTGAGATCCCTTCTTAACAGAAAAGCACCCTTGTCTCCATTTTTCAATTAATCATTATATTTTTAGCAAATTCTTAATACAGTGTTGTTTGCAGGGCTCCTATTATTTATTAGATGCAGAATTACCTTAATTATCTTGTGTATCTGTTTCTGTACTCTAAAAGACTCAAAGGGCCCAAATTTTGCAAGTTCTTTTTAGTTCAAATGATGTGGCATTAAAGATTCCAAAAGGATGAAGTAGAAATTAATTTAGCAATTAGCTTGTCTATATATGGATTAAATATTGAAGTTAACTTTTCATTTTTAGTTGAGCTGGAATTTAAAAATTGTTCATACTTGATCTTGTTGAGAATCTTGGAAACACTTTTGATCTATTCCCCCCACAAGCCAAATATTTATAATTTCATATTTTCAATTATTTATGACACTTTTGAAGCTCATGAGACCCAAAGTAAGTGCACTGTGGCAGTCTCTCTTTCCCATACCTGCTTAAAAACTTCCACACCTTTTTCATCATTCTAACTAACTTTAAAGGAACATTTATTTTAGTAAATTTGATAAAGCAGGATAGTGTTAAGAGGCAGAATTATTTATAGAAAATGTGAGTATCAGTAGATCCCAAGAGAATTAATATTATTTTTAGGACCAAAAGAGGGTTCAATATGTACAAACCAATTTAATAGTAACAAAAATGTAATAAAAAAAAAAGGCCTCTTCACAAAAGCTGCCAAACCTTGAGTACCATGGAAGGAATAGGTTTTGTGCAGAATAGGGAGAAGGACCCCCTCCTTGACACTGAGCCAGATATCTCCTGGGCCTGTTTCATCAAACTTCCATTCCTCACATCTTTAAACCTTGAGGACTAAATACTGTCTGAGGCACAGGGAGAGAAGAGAACATATGTTTTGCATAACATTCTGTCTATATCTGAGACATATTTTCTCCCAAAGCAGCTTGTGGGGAGTCATCTATCTCTACTGGAGTCAAACTTCTACAGTCTTACCCTAAAGCTAAAACTTGCTTAAGAACCACCCTTTCTCAATCAGGAATATTTTGTGGGGGGATACACTATTTATTAATTCTGGAAACAGTAGTTAAAAAGGACTTTATGTAAATATCATGCAGAGTATTTCTTCCAAAACAGGTATGTTTGTGCATTAAAGAAAGAGAAGAGCTTGGACTCTCAGTTGTAAACAATATTACCTTAATTTAGATCATCTTAAGAAAATAAAGTAGAATTTTTTGTCCATTGTAACTGAAAAACCCAGCAATGTCATTTACTTCAGGCACAGCCTGAACCAGAATCTCTTCAGGGCCTTCTTTGTACAGAGAAGGTATCGCAGATGTCTTCTCTCACTTTATACATTAGTTAGAATCTAGGTGTGGTTATATATACAGAGACCTGACTGTTTTAATAACATAGACTTTTCTCATATAAAAGTTCAATCTATTATGTTATCCCTGATTTAGAAACCATCTGAGTTCAGGCTTTCCCGTTTTCCTGTTCTGCTCTGCTTAGGAGTGTTGTCCTGGTCCACATGGTACAAGCTGGTTCACCCTTGTGTTCATATTCTAGTCATGAGGAAGGCGGGAAGGAGGTGGGACATGACTCTTTCCTGTAAGGGAAGTTGGGCATGTGGCATTGGTCAGATGTTAACCACATGGTCACACCTCATTGCAATGGTGCTTTGGAGAGGCAGTTTTTATTCAGGGTTAACATGTATATAGTAAAAGTTCAGGGATTCCTTATTAAATAGGGGAGAAAGGCTATTAACCTAATAGCCTAAGCAATCTGCCATACCATGTGTCAGGCCAGATTTTACCTTATGGCAGTCAAAGTGATATCACCATCTGTGCAGTTACTACAGTTGACATAACATGGACCAGCCTCCCACCTGGGAAAGACTTAGAGAGCTTCCTAGGCTTTTGCTGTTGCTCTGTACAGAAGAGGTAAGGGCACTTGACCTTGTTTTGATTACATAAAACTTAATAGATTCTTCCATATTGGTACCCTAGATCATGAACTGAAGTCTAGTCTTAGCATTATATCATGGGATGTTCCAACTTCCTAAAAAGAAAGAAAACTGAAAAGTGGCTCTGTATAACCAATTGCACTCTTAATTATCTTAACAAATGTTGCTTCTGTTAAATAAGAGGTATAAGAATTAATAGAGTAATAAAAACTGATAATTTCTTATAACAAGCTAGGCTAATTAGCAACATTAGCATTTTCTGTGCCTAGATCATTTGTGCTATGTGAATGTAATCTACTCCTCTCCGGCTCTGTTGAAATGCAGCCCATTAGCCACAATAGTCTATTCAAACCTTAGTTTCTTGTGCTTGCTTTGGCAGCACATGTACTAAGATTGGACTGATACAGAGAAGATTAACATGGCCCCTGTGCAAGGATGACATGCAAATTCATGAAATGTTCCATATTTTTTTAAAACTTTAATGATGAATTCTTATAATGACTTCAGGTTAATCATGTCCCATTTTGTGTTTGTGAATAATTGCTTCTGTCACATATGTGATATAACTTTTATCATTATAATTTTCATTACAAATATGCATACTTATTTTAAAAACACACTCAACCCTTGTGTTTATAAAGAATCCTAACCTCTGCCAGCAAATGAGTAAGTAATATTTCAGTTGTAGTTCTGTTTCTATTCTTATGTTAACAAAGACTACAAGACTCCATTTTCTGTTTCATTTCTACTAAATCTCTTAGAAGCCTAAGGGCAAGAATTTAAATATATGCTGTGACTGGGTTTTTCTCCACATTTTGTATATACACTGCTTGTTTAGTATCACAGTCTCATTGCTTTCTCTCCTGTAGGGCCTTCCTCACATGCTGGAATTATTCAGTTTATTGATTTGTTTACTCTTTATTATGTGTCTCCTGCACTAGAATGTGCCCTCCATCATGGAAGGACAACATCTTTTTTCCCCCCACAGGTCCTAACATACAGCCAGGAACAGCATAGGCTCTTGATGAATATTTGTTGAACAAAGAAATAAATGTATTTGATGCTTGCTTGCATTTATATGAGAAACCATTGCATTTAGAGCTCTCATCTTCCTGTCAATTTTCCAGCTTTGAGGGAGTGCTATTATTAAACTCTTTTGCCTGGTTGTCATAGCAACCCTCTGGCCTCCAAAGCTACAGGTTATTTCTAATGGGCATATTCCTCCAGACTACCAAACACTGATTATTTTCAATTATGGGATAATGATGCTATTATAAATCACATTTTTCACAGTACATATTTCTTTGTCTTTTATAAAAATGGTGAAGAATTAGAAAGTAAATATGTTCAAACCAACACAAGCTCGGGAAAATAAAGCAGTGTGACACACGTCACTGTTCCTAACCCTTTCATATTCCCTGAAGTTCTTCACCTTTTCACAAGCACCTGTGAATTCATTGGGTTTTCTGTCCATGTTTTTAAGAAAGTTTCGAAAGTTAATTGCTATAAAACAAACTCTAAAGAGCTCTGGTAAAGCTTGTGTTTTTCTCCTCCTTGCTCATTTCTTAAATTTCATGTTAAATCAGCAAATGACAGTAGTGTTATGAAAATTGAGATTTGCTCTGAAATGGTCCAAAATCAGGTACCTTCCTCCCCCATTCCTTCCACTCACATTTTAGTGGCAGGAAGTGAGACAGGTTTTATTAAACTGAATTAGTCATCATAGAAAACTCATTATTGAACTCATTAGTTCAATAAAACAGGGTGCATACGGGCCCTCAACCAGCCATGAATGTAGTTTTTAAAAAGCAGAGTCTATTTTCTAATGGTGGATACTGTAAGGGGACTTTACGTGTATGTTTTGCTATATTTTCTCTTCTGCAAGTTTTGGTCACATGTGCTAGGGAGAGTCAGGAACCACCCAGGTCCAACATAGATCCCATAATAAATATTTCATTACACTCTTCCTCTGTGCATTTCTAATTGTAATATCAATTGGTAAACAATTGCATGACTTGGCCTGGCCAGGTAGTTCAGTTGGTTAGAACGTTATCTCAATAGTCAACATTATGGATTCGATCTTCAGTTAGTGCACATACAAGACTCAAACAATGAATGCATAAATAAGTGGAACAACAAGTCAGTGTTTTCTCTCCCTCCCTCTCTCTCAAGTCAATTTTTTTTATTACTGCTGTGTATCATGACCATTGAGGCCCTAATAATCTGATTTTATTTTTAAAAGATTTCAGTTTATTTCATACTTAAAATAAATATGCTATTACAGATGCCCCTTTTTTTCTTCCCTTTATCACCCCTCTGCCCTGCAGCACCCCACCCTCCAGCATTCTCCCCTCCCTTAGTTCATGTCCATGGGTCATACATATAATTTCTTTGGCTTGTCTATTTCCTATACTATTCTTAACCTCCACCTGTCTATTTTGTACCTACCAATTATGCTTCTTATTCCCTGTACCTTTTATCCCCATTCTCCCCTCCCCCTCCCCACTGATAACCCTCCATGTGATTTCCATTTCTGTGATTCTTTTCCTGTTCTAGTCATTTGCTTAGTTTTTGTTTTTTAGGATCAGTTGTTGATAGTTGTGAGTCTGTTGTCATGTTACTCTTCATAGTTTTTGATATCCTATTTCTTAGATAAGTCCCTTTAACATTTCATATAATAAAGGCTTGGTGATGATGAACTCCTTGAACTTGACTTACCTGAGAAGCACTTTATCTGCCCTTCCATTCTAAATGATAGCTTTGCTGGATAGAGTAATCTTGGATGTAGGTCCTTGGCCTTTCATGACTTGGAATACTTCTTTCCAGCCCCTTCTTGCCTGCAATATTTCTTTTCAGAAATCAGCTGATAGTCTTATGGGAACTCCATTGTAAGTAACTATCTCCTTTTCTCTTGCTGCTTCTAAGATTCTCTCCTCTTTAATCTTGGGTAATGTAATGATGATGTGCCTTGTCATGTACCTCCTTGGGTCCAACTTCTTTGGGACTCTGGGCTTCCTGGGCCTCCTGGAAGCCTCTTTCCTTTGTCAGATTGGGGGAGTTCTCCTTCATTATTTGTTCAAATAAGTTTTCCATTTCTTGCTGTTGTTCTTCTCCTTCTGGCATCCCTATGATTCAGATATTGGAACATTTAAAGTTGTTCCAGAGGTTCCTAAGCCTCTCCTTGTGTTTTTGAATTCTTGTTTCTTCATTCTGTTCCAGTTGTATGCTTATTTCTTCCTTTTGTTATAAATTGTTGATTTGAGTCCCAGTTTCCTTTCCTTCACTGTTGGGTTCCCTGTACATTTTCCTTTATTTTACTTTGTGTAGCCTTCATTTCTCCTTTCATTTTGAGACTAAGCTCCACCAATTCTGTGAGCATCCTGATTACCAGTGTTTTGAACTCTGCATCAGACAGGTTGTCTATTTCCTTGTCGCTTAGTTCTTTTTCTGGAGTTTTGATCCATTCTTTCATTTGGGCCATATTTCTTTGTCTCAGTGCACCTGTTATGTTGTAAGGGGGCTGAGGCTTAGGTATTCACCAGGGTGAAATAGCCCTCTTTGTGCATTGTGTCTGTGGGGGAGGGGTCAGAGAGGGAACAATGCCACTCACTCTGCTCTAGCCCCACTTTCCAACAACTCTCCTGTGAGACTGGGAGTTTCTCCTGCCTTCACAACACCCACAGTGCTGGCAAGGTTGTGGAGAAAAGGGAACACTAGTACACTGTTGGTAGGAATGCAAACTGGTGCAGCCACTGTGGAAAATAGTATGGAATTTCCTCAAAAAACTAAAGATGGAACTGCCTTTCAGTTCAGTGATCCCCCTGCTGGGATTTTACCCTAAGAATCCTGAATCGCCAATTCAAAAGAACCCATGCACCCCAATGTTCATAGCAGCACAATTTACAATAGCAAAGTACTGAAAACAGCCTAAGTACCAATCAGTAAATGAGTGGATCAAAAAACTGTGGTACATTTCTTAATGGAATACTATGCAGCAGAAGGAAAGAAGGAACTCCTGTCCTTTGCGACAGTATGGATGGAACTGCAGAGCATTATACCAAGTGAAATAAGCCAGGTGGTGAAAGACAAATACCATATGATCTCACCTATAAGTGGAATCTAATCAACAAAACAAACAAATGAACAGAATAGAACCAGAGACATTGAAATAAAAAACTGACAGTGACCAAGGTGGGGGTCCATAATGGAGGAAAGAAGGGGAAAGGGCAAGCAAAGTAATAATTAGAGGACTCATGGGCATGGACAATGATGGAGGGATAAACTGTGGGAGTGGGGGGCAGGGTAGGGGTGAGAACAGGGAAAATGATGGGACAACTGTAACTGAACAATAATAAAAAAACCCTAAAAAACAAGAAAGTACATGGAATATTATCCAGGATAGATCATATGTTGGGCTATAAAACAATGGCTTTTAAAAAAGTTGACACCAAAAACAAAGGCAACAAAAGCAAAAAATAAAAAGTGGGACTATATGAAACTAAAAAGCTTCTGCACAGCAAAGGAAACAATCAACAAAATGAAAAGTCAGCCTATGGAACTAGAGAAAATAGTTGCAAACCATGTATCTGATAAGAGGTTAAAATCTACACTATATAAGGAACTCATACAAGTCAATAGCAAAATAAATAAACCCAATTTTAAAAATGGGCAGCTGACCTGAATAGACATCTTTCTTTCTTTTTTTTTAGATTTCATTTATTTTGTTTTTTAGGGAGGGAAGGGAGGGAGAAAGAGAAAGAGCGAGAGACATCAATGTGCGGTTGCTGGGGGTCATGGCCTGCAACCCAGGCATGTACTCTGACTGGGAATTAAACCTGCAACACTTTGGTTTGCAGCCCATGCTGAATCCACTGAGCTATGCCAGCCATGGCTGAATAGACATCTTTCCAAAGAAGTTATCTACATGACCAGTAGGTATATGGAAAAGTGTTCAACATCACAATCATTAGGAAATACAAATCAAAACCACAATGAGATATCACTTCTCACCTGTCAGGATGGCTAGTGTCTAAAAGGCAAGCAATAACAAGTGTTGGAGACAGTTTGGGAATAAAAGGAACCTTTCAGCATTGTTGGTGGGAATGTAAACCAGTGTAGCTATTGTTGAAAATAGCATGGTGGTTCCTTAAGAAATTAAAGCTAGAACTACCATAAGATCCAGCAAGTGCACTTCTGGATATATATCCAAAGGAAACAGACATCTCTGAGATCTTTTTTGAAATCACATAGATATCTGGATTCCTATGTTCATTGCAACATTATTTAAAATAGTCCAGATATGACAACAATCTAAGTGTCCATCAATAGATAAATGGATAAAAATTGTGGTGTATATATAATAGATTATTATTCAGCCTTTAAAAAGAAGAAAATCCAGCCTTGACTGTTGGGGACCACTTTGCATGGTATCAGAAACCGTAGCCCCACACAAGCAAGGCCTTGTCTGTAA